TTTAGTATTATGTAAGTTATTTATTTCTTTACTTGTTAGAGTTTTTAAATTTAGTTCATTGCTTTTTACACTTGCATGAAGGCATATATTGCAGTTTGAAGTTATATAAATTCACATAAACTATGGCTATGCGAATGCATATGGCATGATAGAGGCACATAATGCATTTATAAAGTTTGTGTGAATTTATATATACTGAGCTTTATGAACTAGTTTTGCAATCAGAGGCACAGAATGCAATTTGAGATTATATAAGTTCATATAGACTATGGCTATATGACTGCACATAGTATGATAGAGGCACAAGATATGTTTATAAAGTTTATATGAATTTATGTATACTAAGTTCTATGAGTTTGTTTGGCAGTTAGGATATATGCTGTATTTGTAGCTGTGTTTGTAACTGTGTTTGAAGTGATCAAAAATTTTCAAATCTCTAACTAACTTTTTTTTATTAGATATTATTAATTACTTAGTTATGTCTTGATTAAGAAGTCTAGTAGTACATGTACAATTAATATGTATACAAATATTTCTGTCTATTGCAAAAAAGTAAGGTGGTTAATGAAATGCTTGAGTTCTTCCTTTAACATATTTTTATTCTAATTCTTGTTTTCTCTTGTATGTCTTAATACTACATCAAATCAAAGTTGAAATTTTCTTCTTCTGTTAATGGTCTTATTATATAACTCATAGTGAGTTTAGTGATATATGGATGAATAATTATGTTATGTAGTAATGGAATTAACAATATAAACTAGTTTTTTTGTAGTAATTGAACTTTATTATAGATCAGATATTTATTGTTATTAGAGAATTTTTTATTATAAGAAACAAAATGCATTTTTTTTTCAAGGCAAAAATGCCTTTTATTTATAATAAATATTTTATTTATATTTGTAATTAATTTCTTTCATAAATGCAATACATTTTTTATATATATTCTATATTTTAACTAAATCTAATAAAAGGCTAATAATGTGGTATAATGACTTAGTAAAGTGGATAAGTTGTCATACCTTCAAGCAGTGTTGTACATGGACATTGTCCGCCAATTTTACAGGGACACAGACAGTCCTGGACAATGTTTCATGTCTCATGTCCACAATTATGTCCTGGCAAGGCATTGTACACGGACATTGTCCACCAATTTTTAACTTTGTCCCTACTATGTCTAGGACATGTCCGGGACATATCTATTGGGTTAAGTTATGATAGACTAATAAAAACTATGCAGACTATAATGATACGACTTATTATTGACTCAGTACCGAATAAGGATTAGATTAGCGATTTAGACTTAAAATAATTTTGTCACTACGTATCAAAGCTAAATTAAAATATTGTGATATGTATTTAATTGCAATGTATATATAAACTTTATATATTTGACTACTATTATTCGTTTCAATCATATTCAAATATTTTATATATTTATTAAATCGTTTTTATATAAGTAGCTGATGTAAATATGAGGACTATGTCAAGCACTGCACAAGTAAAGAATAAAGTTACAACATCTGTAAGCTATGTTACAACAACACCAAATCCAAGTTCATCCAATCAGCCTATTTGTCATACTATTAGAAATGATGAAAGTACGTTTACTGTAACAGATCTTAAGTGTTTAAGCTTGACACCAAAATTTCAGCAATCCAAATTCTGTTCATCAAATATAAAAATTTTTACTGATAGTTCTACTAGATTAAAACAAATGGCAATAGTTACAATATTAGTGATATTGTCTCCAACAATTGTTACAATTATCCGAATAGTAATTCTTGTAAAAGAGATAATATTGATAGTTACTGTGACTTTTTAAAATTTTACTAGTGACAACAATTCCTTTTTATTTAGATGACCAGAATGAATGTTTTGCTTGATGTCTTTTTGAATGAGAAAAAAACAGCAATTAAAAAAGAGCTTTACAAAAAAAGTCTTGCTAGTTGTCATCGTGAGAAGATGAACATTAACGAATGCCTATTTGAGTTTTATTCTTAGTTTTGGTTTTAAAGTGTATTAGTTGCTGTTATGGTTTGTAAAATTCTGTATCTCCCAAAAAATTATCATTATCAAAAAAAAAAGGATTTCCAATTTCTGATCTCTGATCTCTGATTCTTGATTTCAACATTTTTTTTTGACTTTTAGACTAGGCAAAATTTGCACATTTATCATTTGTAAAAATTTGATTGAATATTTTAATGCGCAACTCCTATTTCTGCAAATATATTACAAGATGATGAATATACAACTTTTATTTCTACGAACATAATAAATTTTTACAAATAATAGATACACAAATTTTGTCTAATCTAAAAGTCAGAAGAAATCAGAAATCAGT